TAATATTATATAAAAATATATACTTTTAACAGTGTCCGCCCCCCCCCCCCCCCGCACCCCGTCCCCCCCGAACTCTACCGCCCCCCCCCCCGAAAATTTCAAGTGCACCCCCCCCCCCGGAGAAAACTGTCTGGAAGAAACACTGTTCTTGTGGGTCCTGTGGCAACGATGTCCATGCTATGTGTGGAATACCCAATGAAGCAGACGAAGGGTACGGAGGCAATATTACCTGCAGATTATGTCACAACAAACAAGACATCATGGAACACAGGTCAGCAGCTCATACTAGCTTGCAAACTCAAGGTGCTAAGATGCTTAAAACATCAAATACAAAATTTAAAGATGCTGAAATGGGTGATAATGTACGCATCCGTGTTCCAGATGTTGACAGAGGTCGCGGTGATCCCCGAAGCGTGATTGCAGTTGTCATGAGCGTCGAGGGCGGTTTCTACAAATTAGGAGCGGAACATGGTGTTCTAAAACAACTGTATGCTTGAAGTGAGTTTTCAATCCTTCAAGAAAAAACTGCTCTTATTGTCGTCAGTTGGCACTGAGGAAAAATCACTACGAACCATCGCATCTTCACAATCATTGACTGAGGGCCAAGGCTACACTCGCTGCAATAGCACAACCAAGTGCACAACAAATCGCTGCAAGTGTAAAAATAACAAGCTACTATGTAATTCTAAATGCCATAAAAGTTCAACTTGGTGTAACAAATGATAATATTGATTGATTGAGACTATAGCACAATAAAAAATTTGAATGTTTCTGTCATTTACTTTAATTAATAATCAATAAAAACTTAATTTCATGATCCTCACGGCATAAAAAAAAAATCTGCTAATGATCTTCTAATTCGGACTTTGGCCGGTCTTCCCTAGCCAAAGGCCGAAATCAAGAGCTATTTCAGTTTCGGACTTTGACCGTTCAATGGGAGGCGATATTGGCCAACTTCGGGCTTTGACCATAACATAAACAAAAATATGAACATAGGCTACTCATTTCTGGCCTGATCGGGTTTTGAAACAAAATGTCTCCGCTTTTTTTTTTCAATTAAAATAAACTACAACAACATCTCATGTGTTTGAGTGCATAAGTATTTTTGAAAATCTGTTTTATTTTATGTTGGCCGTATCATTTCTTAACCTTAAATCGGTCAAAAGAATATAAAATATCAAAGCTTTGTATATTTAATGGTTTCTCGTGTTATGTTTATTTTTATGTCTTTTTATATTTATATTATTAATTTTAGATACATTTCCTTTTTATACTATCTCATTCTTTAGTATTTTTTTTTATTTAGAGAAGTAATTGATTTTTAATTGCTTAGTACACATCTATTAAAAGGAGCTTATGAGCACCCATATTTGACTATTTAAAAAAGGGAAATAAGTCATGGAAGTGGTTTAAACGTTTGCCGATCTTTCACAATGGTATAGTATAAAAACAAAGGGAAAAGAATAATTAATTATACAAGAGCGTGGGATGGTGTCTATAGAATAAAGATAATCCAACCGCAGCTACAGTATTCTTTTAACAAAACAACCATCAAGTCAAAAATGAAAGAAAATAAAAAAAATTAACTAAAAAAAAAAATTGGTTTTGGTCGGCTGTGGGTCCCTAAACGGCGTGCCCCCCCCCCCCCCCTCCACGCATTGCGGGGTCTGGCGGCACTGTAGTTCCGCCCCTGATCCCCACCTGTCAGGTGAGCTGTGGTTCACCCCGAATGTTTACAATTGTAGAGCCGGGTTAGTGACGGCTATTACGGGCAGATAATTTAGTAATAAACGATTTGAAACGAAGGGGAGGCAACAATTTCTGATTGATCTCTTCTTTGTCTGTAAACAGCTGCTTTCACTGGGCGGGAGGGGGTAGTTTTGAATTCACAAATTATGAATTGCTGATAAGGAGAAAATAAAGCAACTACTACGTCACGGGTCTGCTCGTATCACTAGTTTCATCGGCTAAGACAGTAAACAATTTGACAGAAGTAATTTTCGCAACAATCTTTTGAACAATTAATGTATCACTTCATTCTGAATTGTGGGACTTACATATCTTGCATTTTTTGAAGAATTTTCTACATGATGTTTAAGTGTTTCGTCCCCGCCCATGGCTCTGTATCTCAAAAGAGCTCGAAAATTTCCATCATTTTCATCAGGATACTGCAAGTGAAAATTTCCAAAATCCCTGTGCCACCTGTAGAAGATTAAGAGCCCTAAGTGCAAGACCTTGTTGACCGCAAAAAAATTATAGTTTCTATAATGGGCGCTAATCTTAAACGAATTTCTATAATTTGTTGACTTAACTTAATGATGAGTTCAAGGATTCGTTATTAGGTTCATGCAGTGTTTCTTCCAGACTTTTTACTCCGGGGGGGGGGGGGTGGCACTTGAAATAAAAAAAATTTTTGGGGGGGGGGGCGGTAGACTTTCTTAGGGGAGGGGGTGGACACTGTTAAAAGTATATATTTTCTAGATTCTATATAAACTATATAAATTTCATTTCGTTCGGGGGGGGGGGGGGGGGCGGTTGAATTTTTCAGGGGGGGGGCTTCGCCGAATGCCCGAAGAGATGCCTGGAAGAAACTCTGGGTTTATGTTTTTTCTCCATGACCGATTTACGATTTTGGTGAAGTAAAACTGCTCTTTTATGATAGATCTACATTTCTGGTGCTCAGAGTTTCTTCCAGGCATCTCTTCGGGGCCCCCCCGAAAATTTTTTACCGCCCCCCCGAACGAAATGAAATTTATATAATTTATATAGAAAATATATACTTTTAACAGAGTCCGCCCCCCCGAAGAAAGTTTACCGCCCCCCCGAAAATTTCAAGTGCCCCCCCCCCGGAGAAAAAAGTCTGGAAGAAACACTGCTGGTGCTCATTAAAGTTTTCTGTTAGCTTACACACCACCATAATTCAAACTCAACAAAACACAATATTTGCAAAATGCGCCATCAAGTAATTTGGAATAAAACAACTAGTTCCAACTAAGTAGCCAAGAATATTTAAACTTTCAATTTCTTTCTGTTACGCTATCTCATCTGTATGTCACTCTAGATCTATCTGTCATTCAGGAACAATATCTACAGAAAACACAAGCAAAATAAAAACTTTAACTGTCACCGATGTCCCTCTTCTCCCACTTCTCACCACTCTCCTCTACTATTTATCACACTTTTGAAAAAAACCAACAAATCTCTAGATCTAGATCTAAATCCAAATGAGTGTTGAAAAATAACCATTAACTCATGATGAATAGGGTACTGTTTAGAACTTAGACTGTTTGGCCATTAGGGTCTAAAAATTAATTCCACTAGCACTAGGTTAAAGGTCTTTGAGCTGGTTTTGACTGGCTCGTGGTTAAAAATGGCTGCGACTGAAGATGCATTTTGACAGCTCGCGAAAGTAATCTTGGAAAGACTAGCTTGATGGAAGTTTACGATCAGCTAAACATGAGCAAAGTTAAATATAATGAGAAAATTTACTTTCAACGTGTTTTTAGTAAGTTTAAACTTCTCCGCTTCATCTAGATTCTAGATCTACACACTGATTAGTCAGTGCCTAGAATCTCTAGATTCTAGATCTAGATTTAGAGTAGTCTAGAATCTCTAGATCTCTAGATTAGATCTAGACTCTAGATCTACAATCTAGAAATCTAGTAGAATCTAGATCTAGATTTTCTAGATCTAGCTAGATTCTAGATCTAAGATTTGATTATAGATCTAGACAAATTCTAGATCTAGAATAGTCTAGATCAAGACAAGAATCTTGGGTAATCTATCGTTTTGGGTACGTAAAATCGCCCGCGACTAGTAATGTGAAAAACAGGTGACTCCTTAAATTTTAATAATTATTTCACATTTTGAGGAGGATTTATGTTTTGAAAAATACAAAAATGTTTCCTTCTTTCATTTAGGTACCTGTTTTTAAACAATTGAATTAAAACTTTTCAGTAATAAATGAAGACTAGCGATATTTCCAACAGATGCAACCATGCTCATTTACTATAGCAGCCATCTTGTTTAAGTTTTTTTTTATAGCGGATATAGCGCGAGACAGGCGGAAGTCACTCTATTTTACAAATGGCTGCTGTTTATATAGCAAATCTTGCTCGCAAACACTGCTGTTTAAAGTTAATTTCTGGCATATATTGATATATTTAGCCATTGATTTAGGTTTATTATTCATTTATCTATAATATTTGACACAAATATATCACAATATACTTCTACTAAAGCCTTGACAATGAGGTAACTTTTTCGTACATTAATAGCCGCGGGCGATTTTACGTACCCAAAACGATAGATTACCGAATCTTGATCTAGAATCTAGATATCTAGAGATCTAACTTACTTTAAACTTTACTAATCTTAATCTAGATCTAGATTTCTAGATCTAGATATTCTAGTATCTAGATCAAGATAGATCTAGATATTATTAGATCTAGATTAGATAATAATCTAGATTAGAATCATGGTTTTCCTTCCTAACTTAGCAACAAAACTAAATTCTAGAAAGAATCTAGTTTTAATTTTAGAATTTAAATTTAAGCTTAGGCTACAAGTAAGATAATAGATCTAATCTAGATCTATATCTAGATTCTAGATCTTATCTAGTATCTAGATCTAAAATTTTGGTAATCTATCGTTTTAGGTACGTAATATCGTCCGCGACTAGTAATGTGTAAAAAAAGGTGACTTCTTAAATTTTAATAATTATTTCACATCTAGAAATCTAGAATCTAGGTTTTGAAAAATACTGCGGCTATTCGTACTTTACTACAAATAGCATTATGAAGGCTATTCATACTCCGGCCAATCAGCGTGAGGCATTTTTTCTGTGATTCTTGAATTCCCTTTTTCATGCTGTATAGATCTAGAACTAATTATTTTTTAGATCTAACCTTATCACTAACCCTATACCTAACCCTATGCCAAACCCTAAACTTAACCCTATGCCTAACCCTAATGCTTAACCCTAATCCTGAAGTACATTTTTTTTTATGCAAAAAAGAAAAAAAATCAACCCTGAGCCAAAGGGAATAGAACCTACGCCTCGAAAACAAACTAGCCTTCTTTTCTTCTTCTTCTTCTTCGTTCTTAATTATTAGTGTTATAGGGTGATCGAGATTTATCTGCCAGTGGGTTTTGAACTCGAGACTTTGTTCGAATTTATCAACCATGAGCTTTTTTGCCGACTCGACCACGCCTCCAACACAAGCGTTACGTGTCAACTGGTTATGCGCCTTTGAGGCCATTGACTCCGATTTCAGCCTGCTTTTCTTTTTGGATTTGCTTCCATAGCCTTTGTCCAACCAAGAACAAACTACAAGGCAGCAGTTGTTTAATTTTGGAGTTGTCTCTCCTAGAAGAGTGGCTGTCCCCAGCTAACGAGCCTCATCTGCCCGAGGGTTCGAACTCGAGACTTTTCGGTTTAGCAACCATGAGCTTTACCGACTCGACCACGACGACCCCTCACAAACTAGCCAATACAATCACTTCGACCACCGAAACAGTTACAACCAGTTTCAAAATTGGAATGTTATACACAAGCTAATAAAAATAATTATGCACGCATGCGCAGGACAATGAATTTAAGAATAAATTTGATTGTTCGGCTAAAATTAGCAGTACAAATAGCCTTCTGAGGGCTATTTGTAGTAAAGTACCAATACTCTTCATTTATGTAGATCTACCTGTTTTTATACAATATAGGCCTAATTAAAACTTTTCAGTAATAAGTGATTAGTAATAAAACAGATAGTATTAGTTACCTCACAAGTTAAAGACCGTTACAAGTACTATGGACGTTTCGACCCAAGGTCTTCGTCAGCACACAACAGTGTGATTACAGATTAGACAAATAAAGACAAACAGTAACACATTTTTTGACTTAGCTCGACAGTGAAAACACGTCTTGTCTGCTAGCCACGATATCCAAAAGAAAAGACGCGTGAGAAGGACGCTTGGACACCGTATAGGGGTGGGGTTGGGGGCGTGGTGTATGCGGGAGGGGGGGGTTGTTAGGTGAAAGATATCTGTTCATTCAAGCCACGCGACTAATACTTAAATTTGGTACACGGGCACCCGTAAACTATGGGCATTAAAGTCCTTAACTAAGCTGAATCAGGTGCATCCGCAGACGCCCCAATAGGGTGCAATTTGCCACAGGCTTCCTTCTAACCCAGCGGCAATCAATGCACTGGGACGGGCATACTAGTCAATATATGCCTATATATAGTAAGCAATGTGTGTGTGTGTTTGTTTGTCTGTCTTTTATGCATTGCTTATTTGCTACACCTTTTTTACACCTTTTCATCCAATCGCCATGAAACTTAGGGAAGTTGTTGAAAATTCTCCTGGGGAGGTTTCTGCAAAAAAGAAAATTTCAAATTGGCAGGAGTGGCGCCCCAGCAGTGCGCGATTTGTTTTTCTCTATATACGGTATATAAAAATAACAGTCGATTTTGGTTTGACACCGTTCATCTGATAGCCATGAGACTTTGGGGAGCTCATTTAAACACTTCAGGGAAGGGTTCTGTTTAATAATCTTTTTTTAATTTCACAAGCACAGGGAAGGGTTCTGTTTAATAATCTTTTTTTAATTTCACAAGCACAGCGCAGAGGGTGGGTGCGATTCTTTCCTATATACATTTTTTAAAAATGAAAGTCAGATGCAGTTCGGCACCATTTAACAGAGTGCCATAAAACTTCAGGGAGTTGATGAATACTCTCGAGGTTTCTGGGGGGGGGGGTGGATTTAATTAATTAACCTAGGTTTGACTATGAACTGTGATGTTTCTTTTTGTCAGTAAAAAAAATCCAAACAGTTTTGTCACTTTGCGAATGATGCAATTAGCATCTATTTTTAGACGATCCAATCAGAAATTGAGACTGAGCATCTAATATTAGACCATTAGTAATGCTAACATATTGCATCAGTCACACAGATGTTTAAAACACGACAAATAATTTTTTTTTACGTGTTCAAGAAAAAATCCTGTTCATTTGTGTCACTTTAGCGAATGACGCAAAATCTATCATTGTTAGCAGGATGCTATTTAGCACTCTGGGTTATCCTCTATGCACAATGGCGCCAATGTGAGGTTTAAGTAGCCTCTGCGCTAGTGTAGTTGGTGGCTCCCGAGAGCGCCCCTCTATTTCCTTGACACATGGGTTGCCACCGAAATGTGTTCTACCTCATTATTTGGCTAAGTGATTAACGTACACTCAAGGTTTTCACGCGCTAGTGTAGGTAAATCCATGTCCCGATAACTATGATCCAAGCGCATGCAGTGTTTACAATTAAATAACTCAGTTTTAGAAAATAGGATCACGCATTTTAGAACATAGGATTAGTAACGCATTCATGAAACCGTTCTTATATATTTCATCAGACTTTCTTCAATCCCTGCGGCAACGCGCGTGGACGGGGACGCCAGTATTATATAAATCAAAGTATATTGGTTTGTTTGTCCTTTATGCATTACTTCATCTTTCATCCGATGGCCATGAAACTTTGTGGAATTGATAAGAATACTCCAGGGAAGGTTTCTGCAGGAAAAATTTGAATTTTGCAGTGTGCGAATAGGCACCCAGGGCTTTTCGATGAACACAATGGTGTACACGTTTGTTTTAAACAGTGCGATGGGCTATGGATAAGATGGGTTACTGTAGTCGTTCACTAAATTGAATCAGGCACGTCTGCCGGCACCTCAGGCAGGGTGCTATCTTGTGCCTGTATCATGTGAGCACTGAGTTGCGGTGCACTGACAAAATGGCCTCATCCATATAACCCCGACAAGCCGACCCAATTAAAAAAAACCCATCAAAAGGGCCCACGACTTATTACCTCCCTTCAAAAGGGCTTCCGTCATATTGACATGCAATACATTGGCTTATGACAAAAAGTCTCAGGACGTATCGGCTCCCGACTCATTGACTCCCAACATATGGACTCTAGACATATTGGCTCCAAAAATGGGTTCCATACAAATGGGCTCCGGACAAATTGGCTCCAGGCGAATAAATTGTATGAACACTATTGGCATAAAAGTAACCATTTATCCTACCTCCACTACCACTATAAACTCTTTTAAATGGGCAAAGAGAATTTTTTTGGTTTGATAACCTACACGCATACTGCAGGTTGGAATGGACATTCTGCAGCCGACTCATTTATGGAAGTCATAGTTAGATGACCCTTAAATTTAAAACATACTATTTTTTTTTTTTTACTAGATAGAATATTAAAAATAGGGCATACAGAACAAGAGATGCATGCATTGTATTTCTGGGTCCCACTGGCCAGTGTCATATTCAATGAGGACGTTTCACCAAGAGACTTTGTCTCTCCGGAAACCATATTGACAGGAGCCCTTTTGTCGGGAGCCGAAATGACAGGAGCCTATTTGTCAGGAGTATAATGAGTCGAAATGATGTGAGCTCATGTCTAGAGTCAAAATGATGGGAGCCGTATTGTCCAGAATCATAAAGACGGGAGCCTTATTGAGTGGGGCCCTTATGATGGGGTCTATTTGTGGTGCATACATTCGTTTTTATAGAGTGTATCCAACTGAAAGTTAATATTGGTCACCCATAGCTTTCGCATGAGCTCTAAGGTAGCCTGTTGCTTGACCCAGTTTTCTTTACTGTTGTCATAGTAATGATGGCTGCCAAAAACTACGATACTGTGATTCCATTTTTTAATGTTTCATGGTCATTTCAGAAATAAATACTTAAATAAATCAGGTACGCATCAGAGTTGGGTGAACTCAAGAACATCATGTAGACTCCCAGTCTGAGAACCAAACTCATGATTTTTAGTCGAACAGTTGAGCTTTCTACCACTTGACCTTGGCGTCCTATATCTATGAATACTATGATATAAGATGAATGTATTTATTACTTTTACAAAATTTGTGAATGTTTTTCAGGCACGTCCTGCAGTTGTGCTAGCAGCTATTCTAACTTTGTGCATGTGCTCAGTGCTAGTGAGCATGTACTACATCCACAATATTGTTTTGGCTTCCCCCTTGGAAATCATGAAAGCAAACAGAGCCCCAAGACAGAGTGGGAGAATCATCGGAGATGATAAAAGTTTTTTTGTTACCAGCATATATCACAAGCAACAAGATTTGCATAATGCATCCGAGGTAATTGCAGTGATTTTTACTAATTCCATTTTTGCCAGAGGCGCTCAGGGTGAACTATCAACTTTGAGCCCCCTCACTCCTCATTGTTATTCACATTAGCATTGGTAAAAAAAAGCGCTCCCCCCCCCCCCCCCTTTTTTTTTTAACCAGTCACTGTCCCCTTTATGGCTTTTATACTTATGTCAGACATTTGGTGTAGAAAACAGTTAATGAAGCAAGCAAGTCTATTTTCCATGGCTTCGAATGTGTATAATTTAGTAATGCAGCTCAAAATGAGCTTTTTTATTTATAATTCTGCCCCATTTAGCGCAACCTTAGGTGAGAGTTTCTTCCAGGCATCTCTTCGGGAGGGGGGGGGGTGCTGGCCCCCCCCCCCCCCCCTCAAAGAAATGTTTTTATAAATAGTTTTGATTAGTTTGTCAGTAAAATTGGACCTTGTAAAGCATGTCAAGCTTATTTGAGAATTTTGTTTCAGAATTCTGATGAAGGTGCTCCTCCTGTCCTCAATGATATTGACATAGCTTTTCATATTGAAAGGAAAAAAACTGACCTTAACAGAAAATTAGATTCTCAGTCACATAAAAAGATCAGGAAAGAAGATATGTGGCCTAGTCATGAAAAAGTACTGAAACGTAGGAAAGCTTTTGTGCCTCTTGCTATGCAGACTTACAATAATCCTCAACGTACAAGAGAACACTGGAATGGAGAAAAATATATTGTATATTTGTGTCATAGTAATATAACATGTGCTGGATGGGGCGATCGACAACATGGCATCTTTTCTGCATATTTACTGTCTTTGGTTACAAATAGAACTTTTAAGGTAGATATGCAAAGTCCCTGTCCATTATCAAAACTATATCATCCTCGAATGATCAATTGGAAAATAAATCAGTCTGAGCTTGAAGGGTTGTCAAGCACTCATTTGTATGCCTTAAACGATCGCAAATTTAGAGAATCAATGAAAGTAATAGACTTTGATGAAGAGTACCCGCAAGATGTTGTATATCTTACCACTAATTATGATTATTTTTATAATCTTAAAGCTAATCCTGTTTATAAGAGCATTTTTAGACAAAAGGTTAAAGGTAGACCACGACCGATTCTTTTTGCTGATTTATGGCAGAGTATATTTAAAATGAATAAGAGGGTTATTAGAAAATATACTCCAGCTCTTAATTATGCCAGACCAACAAAACATCATAAGCTGGCTTGTGCACATATTAGATTTGGTCGAAATCCAACAATACCAACTGATGGGGACATTCGAAACACTTTAACAACTATTAAGCCCTTGTGGTCTTTTCTTGAGAAACATTCAGATCCATTAAGCTATAGAATTTTTGTTGCTAGTGACTGGCAAGGCTTTCGTGACAAGGTTAAAAGTTTGTACAGAAATATAACAATTGATATTGAAGGGGATATAATTCATATTGATAAACTAAAAGATCAACGAAAAAGAGAAAATTCTACAAATGTTGCAGATCCATGCACTGGTTTTGAGAAAGTAATTGCTGATCAATTTGTTTTAAGCAAGTGTGATATACTGCTTTTAACCTACAGTGTTTTTGGCAAAGCTGCTGCATATTTACGGAGGTCTAATAATGACTTGTATTTAATGGAAAATGGAACTATTAAAACATTAATGCTGTTTGATGACAAGAATCATTAAACATTGCTTAAAACTTTAAACAAAGAAAAACACTGATGTCTTTCAAGTATTTCACGTACTGTATTTTAAGTACTCTGACAACATATTGCATGCTGCCTACCTGATTTTTTTTTTTTCATTATAGTTTTATATTAACTGTAGTACCAAGAATGAGTATTACTATTATTAGGGTATTCAATTAAAATGCTCGAACTTCTATTTCCTTGCATTGATTTTCTCTGGCATATTTATTTTTTTATAAACTTTTCTTTGTTCAAAATGAGTTTATTTGAAGTATAATTTATAAAGGTTACAGTTACTATAATAAAATGCATTGTTTTTATGTAAGGCGCATATTTAACTGCAGAATAGAGAAAAATAGCCTATTAGTTTACATTAGTTATTTACTGGCATTAAAATTAATGCACAGGTTCCTAAACTTTTTTGAGTGGAGACCCCCTTCCATAAAATTAAAAAGTCGAAATTAGTAAGGAAACTAATAACTAATAAACACAAAATCAAAAATAAGATATTATTAGTTAAAATTTCAATTATTTTTGATAACTGTTTTTAATTCGATGGGTGAAATTGCCTGCTATTAACTAGCCTCAAAATTCCGGTTGAGTTTTCTGTTAATGCCAACCTCATGTTGAAGTGGTGTTCAAAATTATTTTCGCAAAGATCGCAAAAGGAACAACTTGAAAGTCAATGTCACGTTTGGGTATGAACGGTGCATACTACACCAAAACTATGTGAGCAGGTTTCTTTCAACTCAGTACGTGATAAAAATGTCCCGTGATTATTATTAAAAGAGATAAAATTCGTTTATTTTCACTGACTCTTTAGGATAAGCCTATTCTGCTGTTTACATATTATAACTGCTAGGTATGCTGGTCTCTCCAACCACTATTTGTCCTTTAGTTTAAGTTTAACTATTTCAAAAGGTCTTTGTTAAAACAATTGTGAAAGCTTAATTGCATTCACAATTTGTTCTTTTCACTTCCATGAATAACTTGATTTCATCTTTCAGTTAAAATGCGATTCACATTTCCTTTTGACAGCCAGCTTACTGTAGTGTAGAAAAGCATAACTTCGCAATCAGAATTCGTTTCTTTGCACAATTCTTTAAACAGAGGAGTGTTTAGGGCTTCGGACTTTTTATATTTTACTATCGAATTAATTGCCTTATGCAAAGGAGTCAGAAGAGTCTTGCTGGCGAGGGCATACTTGTGAATGACGTAGTGGATTTTTCTTGATCTGGGAACTAAATATTTTACTTTTTTCTTCAAGTTCAAGTTAAAGTCCGAGATTTTGACCCAAGCACACCATCCCATTTTAATCCACCAGTTCCAAAAAACGTATTTTTGTAGTAGTTATCAAGTGAACAACAAAATAGAAACTCCTAATATCATCGGAATGAATATATTTCACAAAGACAAGCAACTGCGAACACGAACTCACGTGTCGACCCACCAACTTGAAAATCAACAATTGTGAAAGCATGATTTCATTCAAAATTTGTTCTTTAACATCTATGGACATGTCTGCGTATACGCCGCTGAATAGTATTATTAGTATTAGACAGATGTATTTGTTGCATTTTCAACATGCAGGGTTTGTTGAGATTTTTCTCTAAAGCGACTTCCTATATTATTATGCTTGCACTTACACTAATTTACTGACTAATGCTGTTTCCTCGGTGAAATCTTCCTGTTCGACAAAGTCTGGTGACTTTTGTAACTAGCTTCAATATCACGCCTACGAAAGAATTCCATATCTTTTTGGTGTGTTCTGAATGACTCGTATCAAAATGACTAACAATAATCTGAAATCTTCAATACTCTGTTAATAAGTTAATATTATTAAAACGTCAGCCGGGGAAAAAATTAGAAAATTATTTATAGAAGTATTTATTTATAGGAAAGGCTATTTGATCGTTTAATATAAAATTATTCAAACTTCAAAACACCATTAAAAACTTTTTAAAAAATTGAATAGTGAAATTGTGTTTGAATTAGTCTACCAGTTGGCGCCCCCCCCCCAGGGGGTCTCTACCCACAGTTTGGGAACCCATGCAATAATGATTGGTTTACTCAAATATCGTTTGTGCACACAGCCGTGTATATTGCAACATGGTGAGCAATTTGTTAATGATTTAGAATATTCCTTGGTATGGCAATAAAATTCTTTTCATTGTACAAAGGTTTTCGTAAACGCTTTATTTGCTAAGCCCCGTTTGACAACAGCTACTCTTGATTTCAGCAGAGAATCTCTGATGTTAAAATTACTTTTAAAAATTCATTACGTTTTAGTAGGTTAGGTTAGGTTTGCCTGTCGTCCCTCCTGGGACATAGGCCGCTGACAAGAGCTTTCCAGGCGTCTCTGTCCTAGTCTCTCCAACTGTCCCCAGGTGTATGCAATCTTCTTGGTCACTTCTCCAGGTCTTTCTTGGTCTGCCTTTCCTCCTCCTGCCTTGTGGATTCCAGGTGAGGACCTGTCTTGTTATGCTGTATACAGACTTCCTGATTGTGTGGCCAATCCATTTCCATTTTCTCTGGAGGATCTCTATTTCAACTGGCAGTTGATTTGTCCGTTGCCATAGAACATCATTTCTGATGGTTTTAGGCCAGCCAATTCGCATGATCTTTCTGAGGCATGCGTTTATAAATAATTGTATTCTCTTCTTATTTATAGCTGTTATTCTCCATGTCTCAGCTCCATAGAATAAAACAGGTTTTACTAGTGTGTTGAAGATCCGAATTTTTATTCCACGGGTTAAATGTTCAGAACCCCAAATATTTTCTGTTGGTTGAAGACTGCTCTTGCCCGTCCTTATTTTTATGTCTGCTTCTGTCCCACCCTGCTTATCAACAATACTTCCAAGGTAGGTGAATCTATCCACTTTTTCTAGGGCTTCTGCCAATGTGATAGGGTTGCTGTTTGATGCATTGACTTTGAGAACATTACTTATCCCTCTGTGGATGCTCAAGCCCAGGTATGTAGAAAAATTAGAAACCCTGTTGGTTTTATCTGCATTTGCTGTTGCGTGTGAGAAAGAAGGGCCAGGTCGTCCAGCTAACCCCACAGTGTCCACTGTATACCGTTTTGCGTTTTATCTGTTGACATGTTCATAATCCAGTCTATGGCCAGCAGGAACAAGAATGTTGAAAGTAGGCAACCCTGCCTTACTACGGTTCGTACTGGGAAGGCCTCTGAAGTCTGTTGGCAATGCACTACTCTACATTTGAGACCTTCATATGAACACATAATAATGTTGACTATTATCTGTGGCACCCCGTAGTGTCTCGACAATTTCCACATTGACTGTCTATCCAGGCTATCAAAGGCCTTCTCATAATCTATGAAATTAATATAGAGCACGGGTTCCCAAACTGGGGGTCGCGAAGGGCTTTCTGGGGGTCGCCAACTTGTATACTAAACCTTAGCAATGAGAAACAAAACATAAATATTTAGAAGAATATCTGAAATTCGGATTTATTACATCATTGGAAATGGAATAGAGAAGAAGCCATGCGTACTGTACAAAGTTGTTCTCAGTTACGAGTTTATGAAACCTGCAAAACTAAAACACTTGAGACGAGTCATTTGGAACACACCAAAAAAGATACGGAGTTATTTCGTCCGCGTGAAGCTAGTTGCAAACGTCAGAGACTTGATTGAACAGGAAGTTTTCACCAAGGAAACGCAGCATTAGTGCAAGCATCAAATGATGTCACGATAGAAAATGCCAAGAAAAAAAAACACAGTAGGAGAAAATCTCATCAAACTCTGCATGTTGAAGATGTTGAAGTTAATTTTTGGGGAATCCAGTGCAGTAAAAATGCAACAAATATCTCAGCCTAATAATACTATTCAGCGGCTTATGCCCGTAGATGTCAAATAACACATTTTTAATGAAATCAAGCTTTCACCATTGTTTGCTTTTCAAGTTGATAAATCAACAGAAGTGAGTTCGTGTTCGCAGTTACTTGTCTTTTTCTATATTCACTCAGATGATAGCAAAGAAGAGTTGCTATTTTGTGAATATAGCATGGAGAAAATAAATACGTTTTTTGAAACTGGATGATTAAAGTGGGTTAAAACGGCTGTGGGGGTTTGTGAAGGGATGGTGCGCCATCTATGTTTAGGTCAAAATCGGGCTTTCAGAAAACAGAAAAGATTTAGCTCCCTAAACACTGCATGATTCATCAGTATGCCCTCGCCATTAAGACGCTTCCGACTCCATTGCTAGTAAAAGTCGTAAATTAAATTAAATCCAGAGCCTTAAAAACTGAGCATTAATATAGATCACGAGGTTCTGCTTTTTTACAAGCTTTTATTTAACTCACTTCCTCGACAGTCTGTCTGTCTGTCTGTCTAGACCGAAACGCCGGAGTGAAAATTCGGAAACTTCTACTTGATCGATACGATTCACACTTGGCGCGTGGGTCAAGACATGAAGACAATGCAATCTGAAATTAAACTTGACTTAATTGGATGCCTAATTAATTTTTTATGAATTAATTAAAATTTGGACCGAATTAGTAGGCATGTCTATCCAAACACACCACACGCGTCATCACTTTCAATAGCTGCGCCATCAGGTTCAATAGCTGCGCCATCACGTTCAGTAGGCGCGCAATGGTTTTTAGTCATGTAATACTATTGTAAATAAAACATGTAAAGTACTGAAAAAAAAATTCATAAAAAACGTTTTAATAACAAGCTTTTATGTACTAATGCACTAAAAAGTAGAAAATAAATTATATACACTACTATTTAAATTACTATAAAGAAAAGCGTTGGTCTCTTCTCAATATTAGTAAAGGTATCCAATAGGTAGGCCTACTAAAGTGACCCACGCTTTTCTTTATAGTAATTTAAATAGTAGTGTATAAGTTATTTTCTACTTTTTAGTGCATTAGTACATAAAAGCTTGTTATTAAAACGTTTTTTATGAATTTTTTTTTACACTACAGTGCGCTGGCTGTCAATCAAAATATGTGAATCGTGTTTTTGAATTGAAATCTGAAATCAAATTTTTCATGGAAGTGCACAGGAAACAAGACCTTTTGGTATACTTAAAATGACAGAGTAGTTGGAGAGAGTATCGTACCTAGCAGATATATTCGAACATCAACATAAGCTTAACCTGAAGCTTCAAGGAAAATGAACGAATATTATCACTTTCCATGATAATCTCGGGCATTTTTTTATC